AAAAAAAAAAGAATAAACAAATATATTTCACGTCATTTTATAGATTTCTTTAGAATTTTTATTGATAAAATATGGCTACTATGGATTTGTGATAATAAAAAATACATCACACTCTAAACAAGTAAAAATTATAAAAAAATTAATATCGTATATTATGTATATACAATTAACTACATAATTAACCATGAAACTTACCAACAAAATTATTGATACAAGTCTTGCCGAGATCCAGCAGGTGAATTCTCATCTTTACCATCTAAGGTATAAGCATTCATAACAACATTACCAGAAACTCTTTTTTCTTTGAAACTCTTAATTGCTTCTTCAACGTTACCGGACATATCATCTTCCTCAACCAACCATAAAACCTTTTTAATATTAGCTTTGACAGCGACATCATCTTTGATACTATTAGAATCACTAAAAATTTCTGGAGGTGAATCAGAAATCAACAATGATAAATCTTGTGCAGCCTTTTCCGATAATTGTTTTGCTTTTACAATTTTTTTAATATTAGCAATAGTTAAATTAATTTCTAAATCCAATTCAGAATTTTGGTCGAGATTTAGGCAATCCATATTTTTTTGCTAAATAACATCATTGTAGTTTTTAGAGACCAATAGTCTTTATCGACCTTATAAGCTGTTAGTTCTACATTATTTAATGTTGAACGTGAATAGATTACATGATTGTTAAAGAAATTCTTTGAAGTTGAACCAAGAATTGGAGAGAATTATATAAGTGAAGGACTGTTAGCAGTATGTTGAGCATGGAAGGGTGAAAAAGAACGATTGGTAACAATGGATCCCAATCATAAGGTTAAAAAGAGTCATTTGAAAATATTCCTTTTCTTATAAAATAATAAAAAACCAATTTTAATGTAATATTTGTTTTAAAGAAAACATTAATATATATATATGATATATGTACATATATATAACCGTTAAACACTGCCAAATTCAATAAAAAATTGGTTTATTTGAATTCTGCGAGTTTATAGAATTTAAATAAAAGAATTTAATCGAATTCGATTAGGTGGTTGT